GTGTTCATTTCTCGCTCGATTCTTTATGGTTGGTCCACGCTTCTGCCTTTTGCCTAACAAACTGGTAGCAGAACTTTAGGTTATTGTTGATATTGATTGTTTTGAAAGTATCTATATGCAATTTCGCTATGGCTTCTATGAAGTTTGAATTCGAGAAAAATACTGGTGAAAATAGTTTTAATCTTAAGCGTCTTGAACTCAGAGCCGCAGCTCTGATACCAATTATTGAGTGAGACACACAAGGCTCACTTAAGGAAAACACACTCTTATTATTAGAGGCCATCTTTTACAATATCAGGTTGGGAAAACTTTTTACACGCATATGGTTGACAAGCACTCTCTCACACCCTTTGGTTTTTTTTTGGTCGAAAGAAAATTATATTCATTACTCAAAAGAATACATGAGAAGTACAATGACTTTCATGGAAAAGAAAATCAAAGCAAAGCAAATCCCATAATACAACAAAACAAAGCCAAATCCAAAAAACAAGAAGGATCGACAAAGCATTGGCAGGGTTAAACATATACTCATTCCATAAAAATAGATTTGTCAAGTAAAATAATCTGCGGCCGATTACTGGATCAGTGATGAGCACACGTTGGAAAGTCCTCCAACAACTACGACGTTCCGGCATTGCCTGTTGGGGGTACACGCTTAGGTTTGGCTTCCTTTGCACCATCGCTAGACGGAGACAATCAAAACGGGTTGAGAAAATACAAATCTAACTTTTGGAAGAGCAAATCTTCGTGGTTCAGCGAGACACCAAAGATCCTATGATCATTAATGAAATTGGAGGCAGAGGACTTATACACGGACAGAGCACGGGGTATCGAATCCCCGAAAACATTATTAAACTCCCAGTTCTAAATCGGAAGAGAAAAACTCCTAGATCTAGAACTAAAACAAGAGAGTTTAAACTCTCAGATTTAGAATTAGACCGGGAGAAGAGAGCTCCAGAATTTAGATTGGGAGAGAAGAAAAAAATAAAAAAAGAACAAAAAGACTCAAATAAAATCAACGGGAGAGGAGGGTGAGACTAGCTCAAATCCTCTCCTACGGCTTAAGCTTGAAGAAGACGATGGAGGTGATTCTACCTCCTAAAATATCTAGATATTTCTAGATAAATATCCTCCTAGAAATACCCTAGATATTTCTATCTCTTTAGATAATTCTAGAGAAGATATCTCCCTAAATATTTTTACAATCTTGTTGAAATATCTTTCGACAGAATATTTAGATCTATACGTAACCTAATTATATCTAGAATTCTCGAGAGAAGAGAGGAGGTACAATTCTTCAACAAGGCACATTAAGAAGTGTGTGCAGTTGGAGAAACAAGGTTTGGATTTAGCGTTAGAGGATAGAGACGGACTAAGGTCGACCATAGAGGAAGTCTAGAGAGATGAATGAGGGACGGAGAGTATGTTCTCTAAGGCACACCTAGACGAATTTGATGGAACTTTCATTGCTTGAGTGGGGTAGACGGGAGGTAATATGTGAAGAGTCGTCGGAAGTTCAAAAACTATATACGTTACCATTGTTGTGAGGTAGGATACTACATAACAGACTCTTTGAAGAATAAGGGAAGAGGTGTTAAGACGGAGTCTCTGAAGAGTAGTGTGACTTTTGCACCAAGTTATAGTTCCAGTTATGCTGAGTGTGTTGGATGTTTGTTTGTAAAACAAACAAAATAATGCTCTTTCTTTTGTCCCACATAGGAAAATTTTGAGAAAGTAGGCCACTTTATAATTGTGAATATCTTCTTGCTCCTTAGAGTGAAGACAATGGGGTGTGTGCTAGTCCACACAATACCCGCGTGCGGGTGTGCGAATAATTGCGTGGTTTAATTAGCACTAATCCCTTTATTTATTTTTTTTATTTTATTTCGTAAGGTTATCTCATTAATCTTTATTAGTTGAAAGGTTGTTTTTTGTTTATTAAATAATTTTCGAAATTATGAAAATTCGGAATTTTATTTATATATATTTTTATTTTATTTTATTCCGAATTTTACATGTGTCTGTTCAAGACAACTTTTGGAGATTATACTTGTTCAGTTTTCAATCTTTCCCGAAAGGTTGCATTTGTTCAGTTTGCAACTTCTTCCGAAGGAATATCTTTGTTAGCTTTGCAACCTTTCGTGAAGAGTTGCCTATGTTCTTTAAGACCGTTTTCTATATATGTTAGTTTTTGGCAAGAAGGAAAAAATCAATCAATTTTTCAAGTCTTCTTTCGAAAACTACAGCCATCATTTTCAATTATTTCCTAGAAAGACCCTGGAGAAATACTAGAATTGCTATCTAGTATTCTCATTTTGAGATTTTGTTGTATCCTGGAGGATTTTTGCCGGTGACCATTAGCAACATTGTGGGGCAAATAAATCCTTAAGGAAAGTGATATCACGCCTCAAAGTCCGACTTGATTGCTCTTTTGATTCGAAGCCATTTATTTTTAAAACAGAATGTATATTAGCCATCACCACGGGTTTGTCGGGCAATGAGTGAGTATTGGATTCTGGATGTTCTTGTCACATGACTCATCGTAGGAGTTAGTTTACTACCCTATTAATCGATGGATGATGGTAACATGCTTATAGGGGATGGAGGTGCTTATGGTATAGCTGGAAGTGGAACGGATTAGATTAGAATGCATGATGGAGTGATGAGGGCTCTGACCGAGGTGCAGTATGTACTAGATCTAAAGAGGAATATCACATGATCTAACGGCTAGTGGACTGATGTAAATCGAGAGGACATTAAAATAGCATGAGGTGCCCAAGCCGAACCCATCCCACTTAATTATCCCCACGAATTGCAAAAGGTGCTAACATGCCTTGATTCATGCATGCAAGAAAATGTAACTTGTTCGAGCCTTTTGACCATCCTGAACAAATGATTGCATCAAGTCAAAGTTTGCTTGAGCTAACATGGCTATGATCAAGATCTGAGTCTTCTCCCGCTAAAACTTTCCTGGTCATCATAATGGGCTAAAACACTTGACCAGTCCTTTCCTAGCAACGAGGAACTGATCAGGATGGGCAAATGAGTGGTCAAATTTGAGAGCCGTGACCAAATTATCTTGCCAGGAAGACAATTTCATTAGGCTAATCATGTTAGAGTGGGTTGTCAAGTGCATGATTGCAAGAACCTGGATGATTTAATCCATGAGGATTATTATTTAATAATAGTCAATCCGGGTGTCATTCAATGGGGGGAACAAAGAAGGGAAAGCCACTTTACTGATTTGAACTGAGGAGGGAAGAGAGCAAGAAATTGCCAGAAGACAAGACAACTGATACTTCCATTGAATGATGGTTTTTGGGTTTTGGATTGTGGAAATTACGAGCCCTAATCACTTTATAATTCAGTTAGAGTCAAGTCAGTTGCTGCTTTCATGGCAAGGCGAATATATAAATTTTTGAACTTTCTTTGGTACCTGACTGCGATTTTCAAAAGGAGCAAAACCAGGCTGATAGTCAAAGTGGGACCTCATTTAATGACTGAGCTCCTCCTACCAAACAAAGCTGCTTGCCTAGTGGGGGAATTCATTCATCATTTGGAAACATGATTAGGAGGAGGATGGGTGGACCCTGTTGAGTATCAGAAGTCTGTCTCTACTAAAAGCCTTTTCTGAAAATAAAAATATCTAAAGATGAAGAGGGGCGGTCAACGAGATTACCATTCTGGCATCGTTATAAGAGCCTTATAATCGTTACGAAATATTCAATTTGAATCATAATAATTTAGTTCATTAGTAAGTGTAAGAGCTCATTACCACAATCCTACCGGTATGTCACAAGCGACTATCTTTGCTAAAGGTTTATAATACCTCTAGAACTGAGTCCAATTTGTCATCTTACCTCTCACCCTCAATATGAAAGCTGATAAGATCTTGAAGCATGCAAACTCTATTACTTCGGGTGAAGCAATGCTCGAAACCAATGGCGTTAAAGAAGAAGGATCCACAAATGAGGGAAAGAGATTTGCCATGAATTGAATTAAAAAAGTCTGTCTTGCGTCATGGCTGATGCAAAATCTTGGACCAGGGCAAGGTCAAAAGTCTTTGCAAAATCTGGGCTTAGGGGGCAGGCTAGATAAAAGGTTTTCGAAGGAATTACATAAAATACAATATATATATATGGCCAATACTAATGACACTGAGCACCTAATGGCCGAGAGCCGTTGCTTTTTTATATGAATCCACTCTTTTATGAGATTTCATGTTGATTAACTATCTAATATTAATTGAGCTTTTAGTATGTTTAACAAATACTGTAACGTTGTATAATAATACAAATCGACACGACCTGAATTTGACGGGTATATACGAATCGACAACCCTAGGATGGGAAGGGGAGTCTTTCTAGTTAGTGCTACACAACCACTTGTACTAAACTTTTACCGCAAATGGTTGCGTTATGCATCAATAAGGTCGGGCCACGGTTAATTGCTTATGCGACTTATCCTGGCCTTCCATATATACCCATCTCCGACTAGACAACTTACGATGCGGGTTACATCTTTTGGCATTGTTTTAGAGCCCGTTTGAACTTTTCAGGCCCTCTTTAGTATTTCAATTAATGAGTAATTTCGATTTATCTCTTTATTTGTTCTTTAACTTCATACATCCATTGGTCTCCTTCTGGATCTGGGAGTCACAGCTATCTTTGCAATGCTTGTAAACAGAGTTTGTCATGGCCTTTATTTACATGTAACAATATTTGATTAAGGGCTTAGATTTTGGTTAGGCTAACAATTTCAAAACGAAATTAAGTTCTAACCGAAGGTACGTCGATGAGGATATGATCTTATTCAAGAGGATTTTCATTGCACGAGAACGTTGAGTTACACAAAATAGGAGACAAAATCCTATATCAAGTTCATCTTTCTTTGGCCGATGAGCCAATGCATTTGACATTGAATCTTTTCAATCGAACAAAATGGTAAGGGAAGCTACAAGGCTGTCTGTCATAACTGAATCAGCGGCTCGAAATGACTAATTTCTCTAATCAACTGTCTGCAACTGATCTGTATAATTTACTGTATGATGCTGACTATTCAAAACTGTTACAAAGCCAATGTCCTCAATCTACACTCAGGATTTCAAGAACCTGACTGGATAAAAAATTAAACATCAAATTCTGATCTCATTGAACCAAAGAAACAAAGAATAGGCAAAAAAAAGAATCTATACATACTATGTCATGCGAATTCCGAATCGAGCCGAATCAAGTTCAGTTAACAATTCAATCCACATCTACCGAAAAGTCCGGCTCCGCCGGCTTCTGCAATGCAATGACGATGCTAGAACCCGATCCCGAGTGCTTATGAAAGCTCCTTATAGAGCTAGATCCAATTTCTGTGTCATGCGCGCCCCATCCGGACTTAGAAGATAGAGTCCGGACTTCAGAAAAAACAATGGAACTTTCTCTAGCCCTGAGCTCGGCGATTTCTTTGCGTCGCTTAAATCTCCTCCACGCCGCTTGTATGAAGCATGCAGCCCATGTTCGCCAATGGTGCGAGTAGAACCTAAACTTGTGCCTAAGTTGCTTGCTGTGAAGTCTCCGGAACTGTGACGCCACGAATTTCAAGTCATCTGCCCTTAGCGCGAAGGCCTCCACTTCAGAGAGGGCTTTGACCGAGCGGGTCGACGATGGTAGGATAATACTGGGGTTTGGATCCAGGGCCCACGTGAGCAGTTCTTCACCGCAGAAATCTCCCGGACCGATGCGGCTCGAGTTGAAGAACCCGGTGCGGCCTCCATTGGTGGTGTAAGAGTCGAGGTGGCCTCGGATGATGAAGAGCATCTCATTGACCGGGTCGCCTTCACGCACTAAGAACGTTCCTTCAGTGCACAAGGCGGGTTTGAGCCTTTCACAGATCGCATCTAGTGTCCTATCATCCGTCTGATCAAACAGATGTACCTGCATATGCCAAAAAAGAAAAATAAGTATGACCAAACAACCATCAATTGTAATGAAAACCTCGCTTGTTCGAATTATATACTACAGGATCCTTAATCTTTGCTCATCTGATATCTTCCTGCAGGATGTCTTGAGGTTGATAATGTGGTCGCTTGCTTTGTGAACAACTTGAGGATAACATAGGTAAGTTGCAGCTCAAATTTGACTGAGTTCGGTACTGCGGTTTTCCTTCACTCAGCAAGTGATGCGGTTCTCGAACAAATTCAAGACAATTTTTTATAGCAGGTCTTGCCACAAGTATAGCAATTCCAAGATTGATGCCAATTACCAAATCATGAGCAAAACTCTCAAGTTAATCTTACTTGATTGGTCCAATCAGTGGAAAAACTGGATTGTTTATAAACATGGCATCGCTAGACTAAAAGATCACTAGTATCACAAATGTCAGCAACAAAGATAAAAGGGGAACTTACACGTCGGACTAGATCGAGGCAGAGGTGTCGCTTGATGTCTCTCCGCAGATCCATAGGGAGGCATCTCAGAATAGCTTCTTCGTCAACTCCCCTAGTGGCGACCCACTTGTACTGATCGTATTTCCTAACAGACTGCCTCAGCTCTGGCGGCAGCTGCCTGTGGTGCATCCATCTTTCGGTGTCATTCCTCTTTACCCTCCATTCCTCTAACCGGACTGTTGACGATTGGAGGTATCTCTGCCAGATAATCACCACTCACAATCAATCACCACTCATGTAGTATTCACGTAAAAAACACAGCAATAGTGAAATGCAATACATACTTGCATATTGCCGATGAGCTGTGCGAAGAGCACCAAGCCAAGAGTGGCGATGATGATGGCGAATATGATTTCTCCAACGTATGTGCTCGTCGACAAGTTTTGCCCCAAGGAACTGCACATTCCAGAGATAAAAGGCTTAATAGACAGAGCAGGACCTGCTTAATTTGATCCATAAAAGTGGTTAACAATTGTCGACAATATTTTTCAGTTCTTAATGGCTGCTAATCTGAAGGAGAGTCTTTTTTACTCTACCCAGAATTCAAGATCTTAAGATAGATAACAATGGCTTTTTCTGGTTCTGTCCACAAAAGTCATTGTTCGTATGTCTTAGAAATGGTTTAACAAGGTCTAGTGATTAAGCATTTAACTTCTAAAGCCCAACTTGTAATGAGCAAAAGAAAATACTAGGCGGATTCCTCTCACCTCAGGTTCTTCAAGCCCCACCAGAGGCAGTAAAAGTACTTGTTCAGAAATGGTGAAGCACTCAGAGCGTGCGTCTGCACATCACCGTATATCCCGAACTCATAATACCCGCTACTTGGTCTGCATAACTCTGTGACGTTGCTTGACTGAAACCAGGCATTCCTGGCAGGATCATCGACTTTGTGACAATCAAAGAATTGATAATCGCAAGATGACTTCTCTTTGTTGCACACGGATTTCCAACATGCTTCTTGCCGTTCGATGGACAGGAGGTACCAGCAGGCTCCCAAAACCTATTAAGAAGCTGAACAAATTAAGTAAAAGATAATGTCTCATCCCGAGAATTGGTTTGTTAAGGACTCACATGGCTTGCGAGCATGTAAAGAATCAGATTATAAGCAGCTCCAGCCCAAGCTTGTTCTGTGACAACACCGGTGGCCTTCACAATTTGTGACGACAGTGGAACGATAAGAAAGAGTCTTGGGAGGTACTGGAAAATAATAATGAAGCGAAGAACATTTTTCGTGTTGGCGATTGTCGAACCCCCAAGATTGGGGATGATCACCCATATCAACACCTGTATACAGAGGAAAAATCATGTCATTTAGTGAACAGAATCAGTCACGAGTGCAAACTTGGGCAAAAGAGGATAGCGCGACATACCTGAGGAAGTGGGAGCGCGGCGATGAAGTCAATCCAAAAACCTCTCCTGAAGTACCTTCGCGCAATCTTTGAAGGATCAATTACGAGTTCACCTCTCCCAAAAACACGGGAAGAAGGCGCCACATAAGCCGTACGGAACCGAATGTAAATCTGAATCACGTAAAAGATGTCGACCAGTGATCGGACGGCAGTGAGGATGACTTCAAGGGGCACCCCAATGTTTATGCACTGTTCCTCCCACACTACTTGCAAGTAAAAGAACAGAGGATCGACGAACAGTGAAATTAAGCACGCCACCAAGAAAACTCTGTTCCACCGCTGCATAGTCTTTCCACGAGGATCCAGAATTTTTCTTTTCCCTCTCTCGTAATCCTCAGAGAAGACTCTGCAGAGTATTTTCGTTCTCAAGGAAGTCGGGTTTTTCCGTGACGCCTTGTCCTCTCTCTCCATGAAACTTGGTTCATATGCTTGCTTCCTAGCATTGTTGTATGAGAGCCTAATGGATCCATCTTCACTAAGAGTTGGGAGCTCAGAAAATTCAACTTCATCCTGAACTCTGCCAGTTCATGAGACGACAACGATTGAGATTCAAGAGTGATTGAGGTAATACATATTAGTGAGATGACAAAGATACAGTTTCCTATAAGATAAAAATTGCACGGAAACACGAAATATTGAACTTTAGAAGAATATTCAACACCTATGGACTGACAGACCTTATCGATCTTGGGTTACGTAAGCCCATAGCTTACTGCAGATTCAACCAGTTTCCTCGGTCTCAACTCAATTGATGGGCTTGATCTGCAACAGACAAGTACAAGAAAACACCATGACATTCCGAATAAGCCTTTTTGTATCAGTGCTCGCTGAGCAAAGTTTATCAGCTACAAATACGAAATGAGCATTCGACCTTTCTTCACTGAGAATCAAATGAAGAAATGGAACAGCGAGACTTCAACTCAAACATGAGCTTCTGGGATTTTCAACATTCTAGGCCACATCAAAGCACATGAAAAATCCTTCTTTTTGTGACAGGACTTCAACTCTAGACAAGAGTTTGAGCATAAACTCGAGCAAACCAGAACTAGGCAAAATGAAAAGGACATGGCATGCATGCAGAGATCATCTTATCATGTAAAGAAAATGCATTTTCAGTGCGAAGAAAGTCATTCGTGAATAAACAAATCAGTAACCTTAATGACCGAAATAGTCCATTTGATCAAAACTTGTTAATCTAGAATCCCAATAATATAGAAGCATGAGATGTGTATTTGTCAGGCACTACTTAAAAGAGAGATAATGTTTCCTGTGTTCTCTCTTAAAGACGCCGGTCCAGATTAAACTTTGAGCTTTTGTAACGAAGCCATTTGCATTGACCAAGTAAATCCAGGAACAAGAACAAGAACAAAACAAGTTCGGAAAAAAATCACACTCACATTCACAATTATCGCACTTCTCTGTCTTGTATGCGCAAATATGTTCCTGACCAACGAGATGAAACGACTGATAAAGCACAGAACTCGAAGCGAAGCACCAGTTCTTAGATATAAGAAGCCAAACAGTCGAGCTCTTTGGCGTTGCAGCGACGAACAGGTCACGAATCTCCTTCCCTTGGGACGAGTTTTTGGGGATTCTAGACGCCTAGAAGATGACGAGCGTGTCTGCGGTAAAGAGCCCAAGCGAGCTTGGACCAGTTCAAGACGAATAATGATTAAGAAAACTTTAAGTTCAGAGACGAAGATGCATGGACAGTTGACAGTGAAGTGCGCAGACTGCCAAATTTGACGTGCCCTTAGAGACGGGGATCTTGGAATAGACAATTTGGAGAAAGAAAAAAAGAACAAGTCGTCGTAGAATATGTCCGAACAAGAACAGGACGACCTCCACAGGAGCATCTTAGCCTCCGTCTTGGTTCTTCTGTCTTAGTCTACGCAATTAGTAAGACTTTTCGATGAGGTTCCGGAACAGGATCTCTCTAGAAACCATACCCAACTATTAAGATATTTTTGTTTTGTTTATTTCATGGAAACTAAAATTCGTACCGGTCGCTACGTGCATGCGATATTATTAAATTTAGGGTCCATTCGTTTCGCTGAAAATGGTTGGTCTGGAAAATATTTTTCTTAAAAATAATCACTTATATTACTTGGAATAATTAGTCACTAAAAATATTTCATTATCGATAACTATTTATGTCTGAATATTTTTGTGGATGATAAAAATATTTTTTGTTCATTCATTATGGTAAGCGATACGAATGATCATTTTCAGAAGAATGTTTGTCAAATTATTCATTTTTCGCGAAACAAACGCACCCTTAGTGCGGTTCACCAAATTGCAAAAGTCATCATCGCCCTTTAACAATGCGACTGTGTTAACAATTAGGGGTGGACACAAAAATTGAAAGTTAACTTTGAATAAGTGAATGATTGACTGGTGACCGAGAAACCCGTATCGAAGATCATGAGAGTTTTGATCGATTTGAAAAGGGCCAACCCTAACCCACCCTCCACGTTGCAAGAGTATCCTTGAAGGTTAAGACAATTTTAAGGATAAAGATAAAGCAAGGTACATTAAAATTTATTGACAAAATAGATTCATAAATGATGTAGGAAGTTTTATTGGATATTGATATACCTAGTAGTACTCCAATTTCGCATATGGTGTTGCCAGAATTCTTACTTTATATTCCCTGGGTAACTTTTTTTTTTTTTTGGGTATTTTGCAACTAAGAGAACCAGAAAACAAGGTTAAAAAATAGCCTGATGTCTGATGATAGTAATTAACAGTCTCTTCAGATTTTAATTCAAACAGAGGCAACCAGTAGAAAGGAAAAGATAATTTGAATGAGTCCATGGTTAAGATAATGACTTTCTTTCTTTCTTTTCCTTTTGGGCTGCGGAGAATCAACGGTATACATGGCATGTTATAGGGACCACGTAGAATTGACTTTGCTGTGGTGAGCATTAAGCAAAATAGTAGCCCCAAAGTTCAACAAAAAGAGGTTGTATATGTTTGACCGAGGCGCACAACCTCAGAAGCTTCTCAGACATTTCTCCATTTCAACTTGAAATGAGGGGATTTTGTCGCCATTAAGAAGGAAAAACCCCAAAGCAGAGAACGTAGATTTGGTCCAAAAACCAAGCATCAGCCTCCCCCAAAATCTTGCCAGTCTATTTCAAATTTTGCACATCTTGTTGAAAATGACAAGTTAGGAAGAGCAAGGACTGGATGACCAAGATGCATCATTCTGTGTTAGTGAGGAGGCTGACATACAGGACGTTACATGGTTTTCGTGGTGATGATTCTTGACGCTTATTCACCATTGTCACTGTTCTCCGCAAACTAAAAGAAATGAATGATTAAATAATAACCTCTCGAGATTCGTCTTCACAATCTCTTGAAAGCATACATGCTGTTGATTACCTTTAACTAGGAAAAAAGAACTCTTCTGCATGGCGAAGTCAAAACCGGTATAGCTGAACTGTTCCAATATATTTGAAACGTTCCTTTGCAGCAACATACAACAACAATCTGTTTAGGAAACTGTTGAAGTACTATGACTGAAGCAAATTACATGGTTAAGCTTTGTCTGGATCCGTGGTTATACACAGGAGTGCAAAGAGAGCTTGATGCAAAAATTTTTAGCTTTCATTATGACGCTGTCATCAAGTCCTCAATCTCATATACCTCCCCAAAATCGAGGTCGACCGGCTTCTGTATGACGTTCACAGCTTCTGAACTTGACCCTGCTTGTCTCTTCTCATCCCTCTTGGTGCTCTTTATCAGCTCCCTCGCGTACACATCCCAAAACGACCTTGAAGGCTTCAGATTGCCTGCCCGACCATCACCGTCCTCTCTCAGCTCAGCCTCCTCCTTTGACCTCCTATAACGGCGCCATGTGGATTGGATAAAGCATGCGGCCCACGTACGCCACTGGTGCGAGTAGAACCTGAACTTGTGCCTCAGCTCTTTGCTGTGCAGCCTCCTAAACTGAGATGCCACGAACTTCAAGTCCTCGGCAGCTAGAGAGAATGCTTCCACTTCTTTCAGGGCCTTGACCGTCCGCGTGGACGAAGGCAGGACAATGCTCGGGCGTGGGTCCAGGGCCCACGTCAGCAGCTCCTCGCTGCAGAAGTCCCCAGGGCCCAGACGGCATGAGTTGAAGAACCCCGTCCGGCCACCATTGGTTGTTGAGGAATTGAGGTGCCCCCGGAATATGAAGAACATGTCTTGGATCGGATCTCCTTCGCGTACTAAGTACATGTTTCCAGTGCACAGGACAGGTTTCAGCCTCTCACATATTGCATCTAGCATCCTCTCGTCCATTTGATTGAAAAGCGGGACCTGTTTAGTTTGGACATAAGTGAAGAAGAATCAATCCACGACAGAAGAAAATCCTACTAGTTCACATCATTAAAGAAATCACATGGAAACAACCAAAATGAAAAAAAAGAACATATAGGATTCCACAGCTTACACGTCGAACTAGATCAAAGCAAAGATGGCGCTTGACATTTCTGTGCAAGTCCACTGGCAACTCCCTGAGAAGAGCTTCTTCATCAATGTATCGAGTCGCCACCCACTTAGATTGGTAATATGTCCGAACAGATTGTCTCAGCTGTGGAGGCAGATGTCTGTATTGCATCCATTGCTCTGTATCTGTCTTCTTGAGCCTCCACTGCTCGATTCGGTTGTTTGCTGCTTGAAGGCACTCCTACCAATAGAAAGTGATGAAACTATGTTTTACTATGACGATGGGTTGTGTGATCAAAAGACTATTGATGATTCCTCACTAATAGTCACTATTATATGTGGCTCATGATGATGGAGACATCATTATTGATTTAAGCAAGCTATGAAATGAACACCCAAAGTAGATCACAATGAACATAACAGAGCTCACTTGCATATTTCCAATGAGCTGTGCAAACAAGAGCAGCCCAAGAATTGCAACCGCAATGCAAAAAATTAATTCCGCCATGTAAGTGGTTGCCGTAAATTCAAGGTTCTGCCCTATGGAACTGTTCATGTGGATCAGAAGAGAGTCTTGTCAGTGAAGAAAAACAAGTTGCTGATGTTAATTTTCGTTCGTAAATTAAGCACTGCAACATTATCACACATCAGTTTAGTCTCAAACATGCACTAGCTACAGGACAAAAGTTGTCCAGCAATGTTCCTTGGAAAAGATGATTCTCACATCAGCATTGATATTCCTGAATGCTTCTGGGGAATGTTTACTGCTCATTTCTCGAATGTAGTATCAATAGATGTGGCGCAGACACAATGAAAAAGGGGTCAACAACCCAGTGCATACCTCAGGTTGTTTATACCCCACCACAAGCAGTACAAGAACTTGCTGAAGAATTTGCAGCTTGAAAGAGAATTAGTCATAGCAACAGCATATATGCCAAATTGAATGGGACTATTGGTACTTGTTCCGTTGCACAAACTTGTTACGTTGGTTGACCCGTACCAGGAAACCCTAGAAGGATCCTGGACATGGTGACAGTCGAAGAAGTCGTACTGGCACGATGGCTTTTCTTGATTGCAGGCCATCCTCCAGCAAGACTCTTGTCTCCCAACAGAGAGGAGGTACCAACAAGCTCCCGAAACCTGTCAATATGAAAAGAAAATTGCCATATAAGCATATAATTTCCCTTTTCATTTGGGAACTCAAAATGGAAAAATTAATTCGCTATACACTTACATGGCTCGCCAAGAGGTAGAGCATCAAGTTAAATGCAGCCCCGGCCCATGCTTTCCTTGCTAATCCACCACCGGCATTGCTAATTTCCAACCGGAGGGGAAGTATGAGAAAAAGTCTTAGCAGGTATTGCAAGATAATGATGAGCAGGAGCACATTTTTCGTTTTTGTCGTGGTCGAACCGCTGAGGTTGGGGATTATTGCCCAAATTAACACCTGAAACGAAAAATTGTAAATCAGTGCTGGCTATTTCTCAGTGATAATTGATTGACTGCTGCACTTAACGTATAGATGGTACCTGAGGAAGAGGGAGTGCCGCATAGAGGTCGATGCAAAAGCGGTCACACAAGTATCTGAACACAATCTTTGTAGAATCTATCACAAGTTCTCCTCTCCCAAACACTCGGGAAGAGGGCGCAACAAAAGCCGTATTAAACCGAACAATAATCTGAACAATGTAAAAGGCATCAGCCACAGATCTGACAATCGTTAGGAGGATCTTGAGTCCTTGTCCGTCATATAAGCACAGATGGACACCATCGACCGACGGCACGTAAAAGAAAAGAGGATCCACAAATAGACAGACCAGGCAAGCTGTCAAGAAAACCCTGTTCCATCTACGAATGGTTTGACCTCTTGGGTCGAAAATCCTATTCTTCACCTTGTCATAGTCCTCAGAGAACACATTGTGCAAAACTTTGGATTTCAAAGATTTTTCGGTATTCTTCAAGCCTAAGTTACGATGTGTGGCATCCTCATTCGAATTTAGGCTGCTTGCCCTGCGTTGCTTCACTGTTGGGAGGCTGTCAGAAAGGGATTCATCTCCTAATCTGCATTTTATTTCGGTTAAAGTTATGATAATCCAACATGTAATTGAGATGATCCGCTCAAGCTGAAGCGCCCTCAGTTACGTAATGTACATTAATGACTGGACTAGAGGTTTCGCTAAGAAACTTAGAATTGCATGCATGTTCATCATATTCCTACGTGAATCACTATATTTTGCAGAGAACCATAAAAGTACTGGACTATTAATCGCCACCAGTTGCTTGAACAGTTGCAGAATATCACTTGCACCCAGAAATTGAAGAAATGAGAGCTAGCTCACCTCACATAGCTTGACCTTGACTTGCGAAAGCTCATCGAGATTCTTTGCAAATTGTTCCTGCGACTTGAGGATTCAACCCGTAGTTGGGCAGTGCCTGAACGTGATGCTTTGCGGGATGCAGGCTCAGGTCAAGCCGTCTGAATGGGAAAGAAACAACAGAGAGGGACGACTCCATGTGCAAGAGTGAAAATAATATTGACATTTGCCGGCTTTCCAGACGTGATAAAGTGAGATACCGAGAAAGAAAGTGTTAAGAAATTCCTGCTTCTGTCCTGTATCCAGTGTCCGAGATTTTATGGAAGAATTATAAATGCCATGTGGGTCAACGAAATATGGAACGATTTAATAACTCCAAAGGTCCAAACTGCGACCCAAGAGAAAAGGATTATTTTTAGCTGACAGCCTCGCACAACGGAGCAGAGATCTTAGAAGCTGACCCAGTAAGTTATACGTGCACGACTCTAATTCTTCCCTGGTGATTTTCACTCGTGGTCATTGAACTTTGGCTGGTTGGGTCGTAAGAGAGATTTAGGATTTTAATTAGGGTGGTCGTTTAGGAATTTTTCTTTTTTTTTTTTGTGGTTGCTGGGATTAAGTGAAATTTCCACTGATGAATCTATGAGAGCTGACACATCATCGTTTTGTAGGTATAAAAATGGGTACTTATTTTCTCGTTTGGCAAGAACACACAGATCACTCAGGAACTCAGGAAAAGAAAAACACTTTCAAATTCTGATATTGTGTTTTTTTCTTTTGATTTTATCGTTGTCAAGAAGATGCCAAAGCTTGCAAGTCCTGTAACTGAAGAGAATGCCAAAGACTATATAAACTTTTCTGAACCTCAGTCATAAGATAGAAAGAAAATGGATGGGGTAACAAGCATTCAATTCCATAACCATGTTTTGAATTTTGAAAATGCTTAAAACTCACTGAATGACTACTGGGTTGTGCAAATTGAAGCAAAAGTATACGTCTTCAATCCTCATCCTCTGCATATGTCATTGTTTTTCACTTTGAAACTGTTATAACTTCCGCATCACTTGTTCGGTAATGTTCTTTATAGCAACTATCTGTTCATAATATTGTACATCAATACCCGTACCTTTTGCTACTGAAGTAGATTACATTACTTGGATCTATGGTGAAGCTGTATAATTTACATAAAAGGGCAAGGCCTCGATGCTTTGTGACATTGCCGTCACCAAGTCCTAATATTCCTCAGCAAAATCCAGGTCCACTGGTTTCTGTATTGTGATCACAGCATCAGAAGTTGACCCTGCTTGTTTTTTCTCATCCCTTCTGGTGCTCTCTATCAGCTCTGTCGCGTACATGTCCCAAAACGACCTTAAAGGTCTCAACTTACCGTTTACACCATTTTCTCTCTCTCTTAGCTTAGCCTCCTCCTTGAACATTTTATAACGGCGCCATGCGGATTGAATCAAACACGCAGCCCATGTACGCCACTGGTGAGAGTAGAACCTAAACTTGTGCCTCAGTTCTTTGCTGTGTAGTCTTCTGAATTGCAACGCGACGAACATTAGGTCCTCAGCAGCAAGAGAATACGCTTCCACTTCTTTCACGGCTTTCACCGTGCGGGTGGAAGAGGGGAGGACGATGCTTGGGCGTGGATCAAGGGCCCATGTTAGCAGTTCTTCGCCGCAGAAGTCACCAGGGATTAGACGACTTGAGTTGTAGAATCCCACGCGTCCACCGTCGGTTGTCCAGGAGTCAAGGTGCCCTCGGAATAGGAAGAACATTTCTCGGACCGGATCACCTTCGCGTACCAAGTACATATTTCCTGTGCACATAACAGGCTTCAGCCTCTCACATATCGCGTCTAGCGTCCTCTCGTCCATTTGATTGAAAAGTGGCACCTGTTTATTCCAAATTTAGATGAAGAAGAGTCTGTTCTCTCTGGGAAAGAAAATCACTAGCTGCTTCCACAATGAAAATTATACTGCAACAACTGATTCAAAGAAGCATATGTGATTAGACAGCTTACGCGTCGAACTAGATCAAAGCAAAGATGGCGCTTGATATTTCTGCGCAAGTCCATTGGGAAGTCCTTGAGAAGGGATTCTTCGTCAACACCTCGAGTTGCCACCCACTTGTATTGGTCATACATCCGAATAGACTCCTTCAGCTCTGGAGGTAGATGTCTATGGTGCATCCATTGCTCTGTATCTGTCCTCTTGAGCCTCCATTGCTCTAACTGGTTGTTCGTAGTTTGAAGGTATTGCTACCGATAAAAAGGGAAACAATATTTCACCATCATGACGGGTTGTGTGCTTAAAAGTAACTGAGAAACCTTACTGTTAGTAATAATGATCGCTTCAGAAACCAAGCAAAAACCTACCACTATCGAACGATATTTACAAGGTAGTGAAGGCAACATTATCGAATTAAGGAAGGCATGGAATGAATCCCCTAACTAGAACACCATCTGAGTGGGACTCAAGATGCTTGGGTTGCTTACTTGCATATTTCCGATGACCAGGGTAAATAAAATGAGTCCAAGAATCGCAACGGCAAGTGTAAAAAGTAATTCTGCAACATAAGTGCTTGATGTAAATTCAAGGTTCTGCCCCATGCAGCTGTTCACATCGATCAGAAGAGAGCCTTGTCAGTGATGGACAAAAAGCACTCAGCATTATTATTAGTTAGTGAATTCACAATTCTGCAAAATCATGCATTCATACTTCTTTCTGTCATTGAAAAACAAAACGACTACATTACACTAAAGATTCATTTTTTAGGAAGTAGAGACATGCAGGATCTCAAAAAGGCAGTAGCTGCCAGACAAAAAACAAACAAGTCTTGCTAATTTCCTACTGGATGTACAAGATAATTTTCTCAACAGTGTTGACGTTCCTGTATGCCTTAATCGATGGGTGAATTATTAATACTCATTGTTCAAACTTAATGCAATGACCAGTAACCATTCTAAAATGGCAAATTTTCCCACAGCCACAGTAAATAGGTAGAACTGAGAATACCTCAAGTTGTTCAGACCCCACCAGAAACTGTAAAAGTACTTGCTGAAGAATTTGCAGCTTGCAACAGAACTAGTCAGAGCATTAAAATATATGCCAAATTGAATGGGGCTACTAGTATCAGTTCCGTTACACAGAGTTGTGACATTGGTCGACCCATACCAGGTGACCCTACCAGGGTCTTGTGCATAGCGACACTCAAAGAAACTGTACTGGCATGATGGACTTTCTTGATCACAGGCCATCCTCCAGCAAGACTCTTGTCGCCCAATTGCCAGAAGATACCAGCAAGCTCCTGTAACCTATCAATGTACAATGGAAACAAATAAATTGCTCTTTCAAGCAGCCTAATGAGGACCCTGATTACATAACTTTTCATTAAACAAAAGAAGAGCAGAACAAGACCATAACTTTATCTCCCGAAAAGATGGAGAAAATGGATCAAAAAGCATGTCACAGACCTATTAATGGACACTTGAGTACAAATATAAAAATGGCAGGACTATGTGGATCAAAAGAGTGTGTATGTCCCTACATGTTAAATCTGAATTGCTCCATGAACAAGCTGAAACTACAAAGAAATTGCCTGTTTATATGGATATGCTCTTGGACTAAAGACAGCAGTGAAATTTGCTCATTGTCAATGAACTTAAAACGTCGCCAAAACTTGTTTGGACACGTAGGAAAAGTCTAATTCCTTGTTTCGGAAAACTGAATTTAAAAAGAAGGCCTTGCTACACTTACATGACTGGCCAACAGGTAGAGCATCAGGTTGAATGCAACCCCTTCCCATGCTTTCTTTGCTAATCCACCACCGGCATTACTAATTTGCGACCGGAGTGGAAGTATAAGAAAAATTCTTGGTATGTACTGAAAGAAGATGAGTAATAGGAACAGGTTCTTCATTTTTGTCGTGGCCGAACCAGCAAGGGCAGGAATTATTGCCCAGATTAATATCTAAAAGGACAAATTACAATTAGTTCCATTGATTGCTTCATGGAAATTAACTGCTTTAGTTATACTTAAACGAAAGGATGGAACCTGAGGAAGAGGGAGTGCCACATAGAGATCAATCCAGAAGCGGCTCCGCAAGTATCTTAACGCAATCTTTCTATAATCTATCACAAGCTCTCCTCTTCCAAACACCCGGGAAGAGGGTGCAACGAAAGCCGTGTTAAACTGAACAATGACTTGAATAATGTAAAAGATATCTGCCATCGATCTTATGACTGTCACGAGGATCTCGAGGCCAGATCCATCATAAAGGCACAGATAATCGTCATCGACCGATGGCACGTAAAAGAAAAGAGGGTCCACGAATAGACAGATCAGGCAAGCCGTCAAAAAGATTCTGTTCCAGCTTTGAATGGTTTGACCTCTCGGATCGAAAATCTTATTCTTCACCTTTTCATAGTCCTCAGAGAACACTCTGAACAGAACCTTGGATTTCAAGTATTTACCAGCCTTCCGGCTGGTACTCTTCAACAAGGCCAAGTTTTGGCTCGGGCCGTCCTCTTTCGGCTTTAGGTCACTCAAGCTGTCTTGCTTCTCTGTCGGCAGTCCCACAGAAACGGATTCATGTCCTACTCTGTATTTTATGCCTTTCAGAGTTATGCCTCCAAACATGCAATTCAGATGTTTCGCACACACGCACACAGTCACAGATGATTGAACCATCATTTGTCATAAGATCTATTGAACAGTTAAGCACTAAAAGTTTCCCAGAAACTCAAGAAAAGAGAGCTTTACCTTACATTTCTGGACATTGTATTTCTATCGTCACAGGCCATCTTTGCACTCTCTGCCAATTGTTCCTCTGAATTTGTATTCATTTCGAGGTACAACCGGGCCTCGAGCAACTGCAGAGAATATATACTCTCAGAACAATGATAATGATGATAATATTTCTTTGCTTGCTTGCTTCGTCAGACAGGACAGCGAAAGAATGAAAAAGAAAACATAGTCAGACATGAGAAATTCTCTTGGTTTTTTTTCTTTTTTCTTTTTCCTAGGTACGAGAATCTGGAGGAATGACAAGCCGTGTGGGTTTAATGTAATATATAATTATTCCAACTGCATGCCAAAAGCAAAAGGAGAGGTTGCAGCTGAAAGAACAAAATTGCTTTTCTTTTTTCCGGTTCTTGTACCGAACCTCAAAAAAGTTAACAAAACTCTAGAGAAAAATGAAAAGAGGATTACAGCTCTTGCATCAAAGTCTAGAGATGCTAGGAATTAACCAAGTCGGATACATCCGCATAACTGTTATCATAATCTTGATGTGTGGTCCTCTGGATCTAGCGTGAGACGATGCTGATGTTTTCCTTTTTTCACTTCAGAAAAATACTACAGCCGAATGTTGTAAATTGCTACACAGAATGCAATCAAGCATTAGACATTTTAATCGTTCCTAAAAGCTGTTTTGTCCGAAAATTGTGTGTACTTATTAGCATCTGTAATTTACTAAAACGAAGTAGGGTGGCAATTCCCTGCACTTCATTGCATCAGAAGCATGCTTTCCTTCCGGAGGCTGGTAAAATAGTGCAGACAATTAAAAAAAAGGTTTGGTTCAATCGCGTGTCTGGTAAAACATTACATTAGACAGTTCTAGTGCATTCTGGACACTTTGCCGGGATTGGCTAACAGAAGCAGGCCAGATTATGCATATTTAAAGTCCAACTGTCGGTCCTGATATCATTTAAATCGTATTGCATCATAATAAGATATTGCTTCTTTCCTCAGTTAAAACTGAGTCGAGAGAAAGCAAAGAGTTGACTTTAGCAACAATGAAGATCACCCCGGTTCACATTCACATGTCACGGTTGCTTGTAAGCCAGGCTTATCTCTGACTAGAGGTGTCAAAATGGGTCTTAAACCTATATATGACCCATTTAAAAATAAATAGGTCATATATGGCTAACTTAATTTTAAAAGTCAACCTTAAATGGGTTTTAAATTTTAAAGCTTAAAGATAAATGGGTCTAAATGGGTTAAGTTTGGAACCCATGTCCAACCTACCCACTAGACCCATCCACACACTCTCTTCCTCTTTATAAAGATGTTTAAAAAAAATCGAAATTTAATTATTTTTATTTTTCTCCTTTTCTTTTATTTTTTATTTTTTCTTTTCTCTTCTTTCGTTTTCTTTTTTTTTTATTCCGACCGGTGGTCGGCCACGGCGACCGGCCACCGGGGCGGGACGACCTTGCCGGAGGCTGGCGAAGCTCGAGCTTGCCGGCCTCCGGCGAGGCTCGAGCCTCGCCGATCTGGCGAGCCTCGAGCTCGCCCGATTCCGGCGACCTCGAGGCTCGCCCGATCCTGGCGAGCCTCGAGCTCGCCCGATTCCGGCGACCTCGAGGCTCGCCCGATCCTGGCGAGGCTCCAGCCTCGCCAACCTGTGGCGAGGCTCCAGCACCGCCGATCTGGCGAGACTCGAGCTCGCCGGCCTCGGGCGAGCTCTACCTCGCCGGATCTGGTGAGGTGGAGCCTCGGCTGAGGCCGGCGAGCTCGACCCTCGCCGGCCTTGGCCGAGGCTCTACCTCGCCGGATCCGCCTCGACCGAGGCCGACGAGCTCGACCCTCGCCGGCCTCGGCCGAGGCTCCACCTCGTCAGATCCGGTGAGGTAGAGCTCGCCCGAGGCCGGCGAGCTCGAGTCTCGCCTGAGGCTGGCGAGGCCGAGGCCTCGCCAAATCGGCGAGAACGAGCTTCGCCGGCCTCCGGCGAGATCGTCCTCGCCTGTGGTCGGTCGCCGGCCACAACGGCCGGCGATCGGCCAAAAATAAAGGAAAAAGAAAAAAATAAAAAGAAAAAAGAAAAAATAATTAAAAATTCGATTTAAAAAATAAAAAATATTTTTTTTTTATTTTCTTGGATAATGACTTTATGAAAAATATTTTCTAGAAATGTCGCATTTTTCGTAAAACAAACAGAACCTCAATTTTAAAAAAAATTATAAAAAATTTTCACTAGCTTTGTATTGCATAAAATGTTTTAGCAGTATAATTTTTAAAAAAAAAATCATAAGAAACAAGTATTCCTAGATTAGGTTAAATATAAAAGTGTTTTAGCAATATGGGTCGGGTCGGGTATGGGTTGGGTATGGGTCGGGTCGGGTATGGATCGAGATATTTACACTATAAATAAATGGGTCATAAACGGGTTAATGGGTCAATTTGGGTCGGACCATTTATGATCCGACCCAAACCCGACCCGACCCACCCGTTTAACAGGTCTATTTCTGACTGAATGTGATTTGAACTATATATAATGTCCTCTCTGACGAATGAGGTTGGGTGTGATCCTCCTTCATTATCTCATATAAGAATATGTGGAAGAGATTCATACAACGTATGTATAAAACATAATAAAAAGTACATAAGGTCCTTCATGAGTTTACGAGATGGCTATTTAAGGTTGCAAAATATAACAATATCAATTTTGATCAAATACCATCAATCAAGGATATGCACTCTGAGAGAGATACACGCACTTTTATGAGAGACACGGAGAATCAAGGGAGATATGAAGTACTCATTATCTCTAACATCTCCTCAAACTTAAGCTAAGGTAGAAGAAGTCAACTAGAGTTTGGCAAAAAAAAATCAAAAAGGAAAAAGCCCAAGTGGATAAGTGAAGACATCAATAGCAGTCTGATCAACCGATGAAGTTTAAGACGAGACGAACAATAGCATGAAGCATGTGATATTGTATAAAATGATAGTCTATTTCAATATACTTGATGCAATAAATGATTGTCACCATTCTGACGAACTCTCGTCTCGTCTAGTAACCATCGCAACATAGAATTTCCGATAATCGTATCAGTAAGAGCGCGATAGTATGCTTCCATGCAACGTCAAGCGTCGATGGCCTATTTTTTGCTACATCATGAAATTATTGAGATACCTAAAAAGAAAGGACAAATACCAGAAAAAACCTCAAATTATGTCCTCTGTGACAAAAATATCTCAAATTTTTATTTGTGTCACCAAAAACCCTACTTGCTCACTGTTACACAAATACCCCTAATTTTTTTTTGTGTCACGAAAAAATCCAAACTTATACATGTGTGGCATATATACCATCTATTTAAGTTCCATCTAAGGTATATTTGTCACACCGGTATAAGTTTAGGGTTTTACGACACAAAATAAAGTTTGGGTATTTATGTCACAATGGGCAAGTTTAGGGTTTTTATTGACACAAAAAAAGTTCCGGGTATTTGTATCATAGTGGGCATAATTTAAGATTTTTAGTGGTATTAACCCAAAAAGAAACAACAGGCTATAGTGGAGCAACGATAAAGGATCACATGCCCAATATGCATCAAATAAGCTCTTAACTCTACGGCAGAGTGAAGGCAATGAAATAAGGTATCCTTAACGTAGAGAAGAATCCAAGTAACTGCAGCAAGGTTAATCATATGTGGCACGATCATGAACCGACTGACAATATGAATAGTAGAGACGATGTCAGGACGAGTAATAGTGAGATATACAAGATCACTAACCCATTGTCGATAAATTGTAGGATTCGGAAGGATAGTCTCATCGTAGTCATCAAATGTGTCACTAGTTTCAATAGGAGTTTTAGCGATCTTGTTATCATTAAGTCCTGCTTGAGAAAGAAGATAAGTGACCATATGTTTCTCAAGAAAGATAATAACAAGAGGAATCTGAAACAACCTCCAAGCCTATAATATAGTTGAGTTGCTTAAAATCCTTCATTTCAAATTGTTGACTGAGATATCGCTAGAACTTTGTGATGACTGAAATGTTGCTAAAACTTTGTAATGCCAGTATGATCATTGCCAGTAATTATCATATCATCCACATATAAAATCAATAAAATATGCCCATGAGATGTTCGTTGAACAAAGAAAACATGGCCATAGAGACTCGATGTAAAACCAAAGTGTTCTATGGTCAAGCTAAACTTGGAATACTATGCACGAAGAACGTGTTTCTATCCATATAATACTCGACGTAATCGATACACTTTTTTAGAAGGATGAGTGTATTGAGAGGGAGGCTCCGCAGAGACTTCCTCAATAAGATCACCGTTCAGGAATGCATTTTTAACATCCATTTGAAATAGAGATCATCAGATAATAAAGGTGACGACAAGAAGACTTTCAATAGATTTAAAACGTGTGACGGAGCAAAAGTCTCATCATAGTCAATTCCATACTCTTCAGTAAAGCCTTTCGCTACTATTCAAGTTTTGTAGCATTCCACAGTACCATTTGCTTTTTGTTTTGATATTATACACCCATTTACAATCTACAACACTTTTTTGAAGAGGCAAATCAAGCAAATCCCTTTTGTCTAAAGCGTACAACTAATCTGCAATTTCTTGCTCCCAAAGAGGATTAACACTAACTTCTCTACCTTACCAAAAAAAAAAACACTAACTTCTCTATATGCATGAGGCTCATGAAAAGAAGTAATGCTAGAGTATTAATTAAAATCACGAAGTCGAAAAGAAAGTTAACTTGCACCGGTGGAAGGACGAACAAGAGAAGAGGGAATGACTAAGGGGAATAATTACAATGGTAGAGTAATAACTTTTTTGTCCCTAGTGCTTCTGCATGTCCCTAGTTCTAAATTGATCCTCTTGAAGATTATTTACTGGTTAACATGGATCTTGAAGACTAGATAAGAAAATCAACACGCACTGGAGAAGACACGAATTGCAAGAACGACTACAAACTAAAAAAGTTTTATACTTTGAATACACTTATACTCTTGTTGAGTAATTGAGTGAGAAGTTCATTTACTGAGAGTGCTTGTTACTGATTGAAATTTTTCTTGAAAAGTGTGCGGGTGTTGTAGTAGTTCTTAGGATTTGGTAGTGTGATATACTAGTTTGGGTAGAAACACCAAAGGCTATGTTGTAACGACTCAAAAGATTACTAGTGGATTTGAATATGTTGGTGGCTCTTAGTTTGGGAGAGTGGACGTAGGCTTCATTTAAGCCGAACCACCATAAGATCTACGTGCAATATCTTCT